ATAAATTAGATAATAATTTTATCTATAGTCTGAGTCTCATTCTTGTAAAAAATTTGTAAATTGGCTTTGGCCTGTGTTAACTCATGTATAATGCAGGAAGCTTTAAACTTCCAATCACATGACTTCGTTCACTTTTGTCACCGATCATCATGTGATATACTTATGTCCAATCAAAATGCGAATTTCAGGCTTATTTTTTTTACATCCAATCAAAATGCGAATTTTAAACCTGTTTTTTTTTTTTTTTTTTTTTAAAGGATGTATTGTACATACGTACTTGAACTTTTTTTTTCCAATGTATACACTTTGTGGCAGATACATTTCAATTTTTTTTTTTTTTTTTAAGCACATACACTCTGCGGCAGAAACTTTTTTGCAGCAAATATGTTTTTTAAAATGCTTTTTTTAAAAGCAGTTTTTTTTTTGAATGTACTCAGACATTATGATCGGAAGCATTGTAAAGTGGGTTCAAAAATTTTCAAAGGTTGCTAAAAATCATGTTTATTGATTAATAATATGTTTTGTAGGTTTCCATGTATACAATTTGGTGGTTGTTCCTACTTAATCATCTGCCCGAAGTTGTCTATATGATTTAAACTATTTCACAGCCCTCTTTGCATCTTCTTCTTCTAAATCTGCTGAATATGCTTCAATATATCTCCAAGCCTTTCGGCTAAATCGTCTAATTATAGATAATGATATATTGTTGAGTATTTCTAGTACACAATGTTGCAGCTAAGCATAAGAATAATTACATTGTTGATAGGCAATTCGTTTGACAGCACCCCAAAAATGTTCAATGAAGTTGCATTCATAGTGAAATTTGGGTATAATTCAAAAATATGCCCAGCAGCTTCAACAGTCTCTGCGATCGAAGTTTTTTGTTTCGAAAAATCAGGTTTCATCATAAGTGTATGTCTTGCACAACAATTTGAAACTAAAAAAAAAAATATATATATATATATTAATTATAAACATCTATAATGAAAAATGTTTTTACCCTTTTCGTCATTTTTCTTTCTTTAACAATCCAATCTTTGACCAGTTCACATATTTCGTTCTTCCAGAATCTAAAAAGTAATAATATTTATTAAAAAAAAAAAAAAAAAAAAACAAATTCTTATATACCTTTTTGATTCCTTTAAACTTTACAATGCCATCCTTTTTATCCAAAAAAAACATAGGTTGTATAATTTTTTCATAATTACGAATGCACCAGCTGTTTTTAAATTCAAATTTTTTCTCAACTTTTGGATATAGAGTCATCCTGGAACACATGAGCACATCAAATGCATATGCATTATGGTTGGTACTCTGATCAAAGCAAAATACACCTTCAAAAAAAAAAAAATAAATAAATAAATAAAAAATTAGAAAACAATAGATGAATTTGAACTTTGCTTATGCATCCTAGGTGGAGTGCATTAAAAATCGGAATTGCCTTTTCACGAAGTTGTTTAATCATATTTTCACTTTTCCAATAACTATCAGCTTGTTGTCTCGATTTTATAATAACCCGAGCCTCTCGATCCAACCCAAGTCATGTAGCATCAGCCTCAGTAAGGCGCAAAGGGCCATGGCACGTGCACAAGAAGTCACTAACCATAATTGATGATCCTTGGCCTTTTTTCTTGATAATAGACTCATTATCTTCTACCCAAAAGGATGAATTATTATTATTAGCATAAAAATAAACTTCATCATGGATAACCAAAATATGGCACATATCCCAAATTTCAAGCCATTCTGGAGATATGACATTTTTCATCTCATTACCATTATATTGCTCCATTTTTTTTGGTAATTCATCATTCTTATTGCCCATTCTTTATGATATTCTTGCACGTCTTCTTGTTTATGACCATTGAAATAGATCTAAAAAAATGCCAAGCAATTTATTAAAAAAATAAAAAATAAAAAAATAAATAAAAAAAAAAAGAAGGTAAAAAATAAAAATTAAAAAAAAAAATACTGTCATCCTCCTCTATAATCACGCAGCCTGTATCATGCAAATTGTATGATTGTATAAAGATTTTTACTATGATGTACTTATAAAGAGGTATTTTTTTATAATATGATTATATGGGGTCTGTGCCTTAAAAATCAAGTTACAAGACATATAAATTACTATTTTCTGTAACTTGATTTTCAAGGCATAGGAGGATAACAGTAATAATAATAATAATAATAATATGCACTTGCTGCCCTATAGTTTTTTTATGAAAACCCCATAGGTGCATAAATTTTCATACTGTTTTTTCTGAAATAGTGATTGGAACTCCAAGTAATTTAAGAAAGATATTTGTTTCCAATTCTTTTTTTAGTACTAAAGGAGAACGATCTTTTGGTGGTATAGAACGTAACCAGGTACAAGCTACCAGTTTGAGATCCTCATCATCAAGCAATGATGTTCTTTTTGTATATTTTTCCTGTTGATGACTAGGTAAAGTACTTTGTTCAAGAAAGTCCTTTGCCCATCCTCTAATACAATGAGACATATGTTCTGTATTCCAAATACCCTTCCATAAATTATCCGTGATTTTTTCTGAAGCCTTTATTTTTTTTCACCATCTAGTAGTAACCTAAAATAATGAAAAATGGATGTTAACCTTTGTATTTCATAAGGTTGTGATTTAGCTAATTCTTTTTTTGCATTTTGAAGATTGTGAAGCTGATTTTTTAATTCGTTATAATGCTCTTCTATTCATTGCATTTGCCATTTAGATTGGGCTAAAATATCTTCATGGTATGATAGTGCTGATGCTTTTCCTTTATTTCATGCCTTTATATTCTACATTTCATCAAGAGTTCGTATCTGTTTAGCTTCATGTTGAAGTTGTTCCTGTGCCTTTCTTTTTTTCCAAAGTTTTGTTCTTGAGTTTTCTAAAATTATATTATAATTTATTAGTAAAAGGATTTAAAATATACATGTAGACATTCAACTCTTCCCAACGATCACTTGTACTGAATTTCACACCAACAAAAACAGAAAACTTATTGGAGAAAGTAGAAGAGGCTACTATAT